GGGAAAGAGAAAACCAAATTCACCCTACCCACCGCTGGCAGACAATCCCCCCCCACACTCTAGCTGCCTCTCCCCCGCAGTCCCCATTTTAAGAACACCGCCCTCTGCTGGAGCAATAGCTCCTCGGACTTTAAAGACTACAACGTGGGGTTTCCAGCTGGGCGGCTAAGAATCCCCCATCCCTCCCAGAAGTGCTGGGGCTAGAGGCGCTGGCTTGATGTGGTTTCCATTGTCTGCAGGGTGTACTGTTGGTCCAGCAGCAGCGCCCCCACTATGCAAATTGTTCCAGCCCCCCTCAAGCCCTCCCCGCCCCCCTCCCCTCCCCACAAGTCTTTCCCGAAAAGAAAAATGCTTTGAGGTGCTAGGTGTGTCCGTCTGCTCCTCCCTGCCAGCCCTGGTACCGGGGGCTGCGCTTGCGATTCTCTAGGGTGGCGGAGGAAAATGGGTGTCACTCTTCGCCTTCAGCATCGCCCAGGGTGTGCGTTTCTCGGGGGGACAGTTCAACCAGAAGCTGCTTTTCAGGTCTCCTGGCGCATGAGGGAGTCAGATGATCACCTGCAACGGGAGGCAAGAGAAGAGGTGTGAGACCCACATGTGACCGCTAGGACAGCAGCCAGCCCTGAGGACAAGAGTTAGCTTGGCCAAACTCTGCCGGAGCTGGGCGTGGAGTGAAAGGAACTCCAGGGCCCCATCCCCAGCTCTTAGGGTTTGTCTAGACAGGGACTTGCAGGCCTGTTAATCCACAGTAATTTCAAGTGGGTTTCTTTAAAAAGAGCATGATTCAACTCCACTCACTCAGAACTTAAAGTAGCAATAATTCGTTTAAACTAAACCGAATTTAGGACACTTGAATTCACTTCTGAAGTTACATCCAGATTAACTGTCCTGTGTGTCCCTCTGTAGACAAGGCCTCAGTGTGCCAGTGCCTCAGTTTCCCCATTCATAAAGCAGAGCTAATCCTACTTTCCCCACCTCACCCAGGTGGGAGGGAGGCTTAGAAGAACTTTATGGAGCAAGGGAACAGGTGAGTTGAGTATGGCCTTCTAACAGCACATACAGGCTCACCCAGCCTCGCCTCTCCCTATGCAATGAGAGCTTCCCGGAGACCACAGCCCGACTGTCACAGAGCAGCCACCGTGCAGGGCAGGAAACACAACGTCCTGAAAACAAAACCTGTCACCCAGCCGCAAGTATAAGAGACTCCCAGGTAAACAGCCCAGAGCAGCTGGGGCATCTGAGCCAGAGATCCCAGCTATGCACTGGCATCACAACGCCGCAGAGCATGTCACTATGGATCAGGGCACCCCCCTGACATTAGCCTGCGCCTGCTTTTATAATGTATGAAGCGCCACAACAGGAATGTCCCATGATGCTCCCATGCAGCCCGGGTGTGTGACAGACTGCTGCTGCTGCAGATGGTCTCTACTGGAGAGCAGCCCATTTGCGAGATTCCCTGCCGGGTCTGGCTCAGAAATCGTGGATCAAGTCCTCAACTACTGTGGGGGGGGTGGGGATAGGAGAGGGGCTGTTGCTTTTCAGATCCTGGTTTCAGTATTCCAACATGTGGTACCTGAGAGGCCAAAGGGCATGTGGCAGGCGGGACAAAAAGGGTGGTCACTGACATGAGAGTCACCCAGATCACCGGGATCTACTCGCAGCGGCTGGATGTTGCGTGCGGATGACGCAGCAGCGGGATCGTTCGCTGTCAGTGTCCAGCCCCACTGTTAGCGCCCCGTGAAGGGGGCTGCAGGCAGGTCACGGTGCTGGGGTTCCTGACACAGGAGACTCACTAAGACTCCACTTTGGGCAGGGTGCTTTGCAGTCACAGCAAGAAGCTTGTGGCCTGGTGCTCAGAGGAGTTGAGGATCCACAGGTCCCATAGACTAGGGGAGGAGCCAGGGGGCCCGGCACCACCCGGACTGTAAAGTGCAGGCTTGGTGTAGCAGAAAGCAGCACATCCCCTGGAGGAGCAGTGCCACACGGCAGCCCCATCGTCCCCTGGCCCAGGGGAATCGCGAAGAATGCTCGGTGCACATCACCTCCACGCTGCTGCCGGATGGCTGCTCTTTGTACAGCAAGACTGCTGGTTCATTGCAGGGCTCAGAGTCCACAACCCCAAAACACTGTCCTCCAACTGGCGTCAGCCACAGAGAGGCCACAGGCAGGCCCCCCCCCCCCCCCCCTGCCTCAGCAGCACTCTGACCAGCAGGCGGCGGTTTGGGTCCCCTGGCCTCTGGCTAAGCCCAGCTGGCTGACACTGGGCACTGATACAGGACAGCATAGTCTGGGTGGATATTCCCAAGAGAAGCTGTCCCCCTCCCCCACAGCTCTGGGTGAAATCGCCTCGTCTGGGCCGTGCAGTGAGATGGGAGTTCCTTACACAAGCAACTGGCTGACAACGCAGAGCTCCCGGAGATGGGGGAGGGAGGCCAGCTCTCAGAGAGTGTGGTTATCACCTTGGGGCAGGGGACGCTGGAACCCTCGCTGTTCAGGCGCCCCGGCCCCTCCGGTGTACACTCACCTCTTGTTGGCTGTCGGTTGTTTTCAGCCACTTTGACCTGGTTCCGCTGCCCACCAGCGGTTTCTGCTCGGCGGAGAGGCGGCTGCAGGGGGAGTCAGTCGGCTCGGCTCCACCGCCCTCCAAGATGGTTTTTACTTCCGGTGGGTTGGGCTTCTGCTCGGGGATGCGAGCCACGCGGAACCTGCAGACACAGCAGTGTGTGGGCTAGAGAAACTGCAGCGGGGCCCAGAGATGATCACCGCCCCGGGGGCATGAGCCCCCCGAGCCAGCATCACTCCATAGGTGGAAGTGGGCAGGGCCTGACTGACTGGGAAAGACGCTGCGCAGACACAGCTGCATCTCCCCGCTGGGCCTTACAAAGGCTGGTCTATGCCTCGTTGCACAGATGGAGAAACTGGGGCACACAGGGCACGCAGCCTGCCCAAGGTCACCGAGTGAGGAGCGGCAGAGCTGGAGGCCAGGCTGCTAGTCCCCCTCTCTAGCCCACATACCCAGGTTTAACACAGAGCACTGGTGCATCTGGGCTAGCCCTCGCTGTTCGGCCCATGTTGAACCCCAGCCAGCGTGTTCCCGCAGATGGCGGAACAAGTGACCCCACCTTGGCGCTCAGGATATTCTCTCTGGGCACTAAGAGGGGGCAGCGTGCCGTGCCCAGACATGCCTCTGCTTAGAGAGGCCTGGTCCATATGTAACACGGGGCCAGTGGAGGACCTGTTGGCAGTGGGTCTCATAGTCCTGTATTTTGTTTAAGCTACACCAGACTAACACGGCTACATTTCTATCACTATTCTCAGGAGCTCAGGATTTTAAGCCACAACCCTCCACTGCCTAGGACAGAAGACCCAGTTCTCTGGGCTCAGACTCAGGTGCCGTTCAGCCCCTAGTGCGGGATGAAGACCCCGCCCTGGGCAAGCCAGACATGGGACCCAGCTACGAAAGAAGCCATCTTTCCTCCTCTCCATCACAGTGGAGCCATTCCAGGCCTGAGGGCTTTGAGCTGCTGCCTCCAGGACTGGCTCTCTGCAGTGGGCTGGGGATCATTAGGGGAGGGCTCGGTTTAACAGGGCCTGCCAGACCGTGGGGGGTTGGGATGCACAATGGGGCATTGAGGGCTGCACCTGACTGGACAGCCCGTGGGTCTGGAGTGTGCTCCTAGCTGGGTCTGAGCTGTGATGTGGGGCTGAGGGCCCAGGCCTTGGGCATGCCCAGCTCCATTCCCAACTGATCTGGGCGCGACAGGGAACTACCCCCACCCCCGCCCGGATCTGCTCCTCTCACCTGCCCACGGAGAGGATGGTGATCTCGCCCGGCCTGCCGGCCTTGCCGCCCGGCTTTGTCGGCTTGGCGCTGGCGGTCGTGGTGATGACGGAGGCCGCGGCAGTGGCTGCAGTTTCTGGAGAAAGCAGCACCTCCGGCCACTTCCTCTGGCAGCAGCGCGTGCAGCTGGGGCCCGAGCGAGTGGCCAGGCCCTGCACCGTGTGCAGGTGGTGCTGGTGCCGACAGATGTGGGGGATGTGCGGTAGGAAGTGCAGCTTGCTGGGGAGAGACAGTCAGCAAGTGAGGGGGGGGGGAGTGAGTGAAGCCCTAGTTAAAGTCTCCCTGCAAATGGGGGGGTAGGCCAGGGTCTGTGACAGGGGAGACACAAGCCCTGCACACAACGGCTTGGAACGCTGGCAAGCCTGTATCCCAGCTCCATGCCGGGGAGCACCAGGAGCCAGCCACTCCCCTGCACACAGCGCCATAGAGTTACCCTGAGCACGAAGCTGGATCACTGGCCGGGGGGCCCAGCCTGTGTCCTTCCTCCCGGAGCCAGCCCCAGCACCAGCACATTCGCTCAAGCGACCCACCCAAGGATGGGTCAGCCCGGCTCTCTGCCCGGCGCAGCGAGCGCGGTGGGTCCTTTGGGTCACGCGGTGGCAGCACTGGTTTCCCAATGGGGTTACGAGGGGATCGAACCAGCTACAGCCCCGTGGAGTCCTACAGGGGTTTGCCTTGGGAGCGGGACTCAGAGAGCTGGGTTTGGGGCAGGCTGCAAGACGAAGCTGTACCGGGGATGTGGGCAAGTGGGTTTCCTGGTAACTGGGAGCTTTCTATGGGGTGACCTTAAGGAAAAGGAGCTGGGCCAGCCAGGCCCCTCAGATGCCAGCAGCAGCCCTGGATTTTCCCTGCCCTGAGCGGACTCCCAGCCTTCCCTGCTCAGGCAGGTCCCTCTCCCCTCAACATTTGCAAGTGAAGCCAGCCCCACCAGGGGGTGCAGGCCCAATGCCCTTACCTGGGAGCCGGCTTGTGGCTGGCCTGCCCCAGCTGTTTGCTGTGGTACTCCTTCAGCAGCTCCTCCAGGGCAGCAGCGTTCTCTGGGGGGCAGCAAACAAACAAAAGGGAACATGATGATACTCAAGGCAGATGCAAAAGGAGACACCAGGCCAACTGTTCAGCCACTGGCCAAGTCAGGGACCGAGGTCGACCCTCCCAGGCCGGGCCCTACTTGTTCTAAGGTTGGGCTCTGCAGGCTCAGACCTGGGGCCGAGTCACGGGTCCACAGGCAGGGAGACCTGCGCCCTTTGGCGTGCTGGCGAAGGACAAGGGACAGCCCTCCGGTGCTGGAGCCATACAGAGGAAGCTCTCTGGAAATCTAAATCACCAGCCAGCACCAGTGCAGCGCTCACCAGTGGAGGACACGTCGGGTCTCTCCCCTGAGTGGAACATGTAGTTCTCAGTCCATGGGCAGCCCCCTAGGTCAGAGGGCCCTGCCTCCCTTGATACTGACCTTTCTTCTCCGTGATCAGCCGCACCAGGACCCCGATGGTGTCTTCGTTCGCGTCTTCTATTCTGTAGGCAGAGTTATTACCTGGAGGGGGACAAGCGGGTATTAAAACCTACTGCCATTCCCCATGCACAGTCGTGCAGCAGCCCAGCACTTCATGCACATCAGATTAAGCCTCATGGTGACACAGAGAGGCAAGCAGTTGTGCCCATTTTACAGATGGGGTAATAGAAAGGAGAAGACTTGCTGAAACTCAGTCAGTGGCTTGGCCAGACAGAACCCCAGCACCCTGGCTCTTAGGGTTATGTCCTAAGCACTCTCCTGTGGCGCAGCTATGAAAAAAATGTACATTTTCCCTGATGTGGCCCTTCCCCCCCCCACCCCTATCCGCCCAAGTCAGGGTATTTTCAAATGCTTCTTTATCACACAAGTCAGCTGGTGTCCTGGATCAGCCGGAAGCTTTCCTGTCCTTTTATTGTAGAGTGGTTCTATCACAATAGTGTCTCAGGCGTGACCCAAATCCCAGATCCAGAAATGGTTCTGAACCCCAACTTTGCAGCACGAGCTTTGTTTGGATCGTTCACTCTGCCTGCTTCCCCCTACTCCTGAGGTAGGTAGGGCACTGCCAGGCTCTTTGCCCCCAGGCCCTGCCTATGCTAGAAAGAGGCATCCCTCAGGGCACTGCTCCACACCCTGTTCAATGGCTCAGGCCTTGGTTACACTGGCGTGTTTTGTTGCCAAAACCTGCCTTTTGGTTACAAAACAGTGAGAGCGTTTACACTGCAATGCGACTTTTGTCAGGAAAAACACCCAGTTCTGGCGACAAAAAACTTCCAGCCCTGCAAGAGATTTGTCTTTTTCGCTCCCTTTATTGTCGACAAAGAGCCACTGTGGACTCTTGCTTGTTTTGTCGAGAGATCTGGTTTCCACCAGCATCCCACAATGCCTGCCTTGATGGCTGGGCTCAGTGATTTGTGATCTCTGCTGCCCTGCAGGCATGTGTCCCTCCCCTTTCAAAGCTCTAGGAAGTATATAACAGCTGAATGAGCTGCTCCATTTGGGGAACAAACAAAGAACAAATCATTGGACTGCTCCTGTTCTGCCCTGCTAGAAATACAGTGACAGGCAGGCGGCTACTACAAGGGGAGGAGGACAGAAGCTGTGCTGTTTCGACATTCCTCAAGCAGAGAGTTCACAGAGCTCCGAGGGGGAAGCACAGAGATCAACTCTGCCTTCCCAAAACACTGCACTTTGGGATGCTTACCCACAATGCTTTGCTTTGTCAACAGGGTGCTAGCAATGTGGCCATAATTGTCGATAATGGGAGGCAGAAAAACTGGTTTGACCATTTTCACTTTTGGCGACTTTTGCATGTTGACATCACTCTAGTTGCCAAACCTTCCCAATGTGGACATAGTCAATGTCAATGTCGATGTGAATGAAGCGATTTCACCAACACAACTGCGCTCACTGGCCAGGAGATGGCACTGCAGCCTAAAAGCCCAACCCATGCAATCTGGGTCTTGGGGAGAGAGCTGCATCTTCATTCCACCATAGCACAGGGAGCTGAGGTTACAGAGGGGATTGCTGGCTGAAGCTGCTGCAACCTAGATAGCAGGGAGAGCTGCAGCCATAGCTCATAAAGCATTGCCCTGGCCAGTGTATGATCTCGCCCCAGCTAGGCCCCCAAAGCCAGCAGGGAGGTCTAATGGGCACTATCCCAGGGTATGTCTACACTACCCCGCTAGTTCGAACTAGCGGGGTAATGTAGGCATACCGCACTTGCAAATGAAGCCCGGGATTTGAATTTCCCGGGCTTCATTTGCATAAACTGGGCGCCGCCATTTTTAAATCCCTGCTCGTTCGAACCCCGTGCCGCGCACCTACACGCGGCACGAACTAGGTAGTTTGGACTAGGCTTCCTAGTCCGAACTACCATTACTCCTCGTGGAATGAAGCCCGGGAAATTCAAATCCCGGGCTTCATTTGCAAGTGCGGTATGCCTACATTACCCTGCTAGTTCGAACTAGCGGGGTAGTGTAGACGCACCCCCAGGCTCTGAGCTGGTGCAGTGTGTCCTTGCCATGGCAAAGCAAAGTGCATAGTCTGCAAAATCCCCTGCCAAGCCTAGGACTGGTGACTGCTGGCTACAACAGCAGCTGATCTGTGGTTCATTCCCAGGCTTACCACGGGGCTCCTGGGAGCAATTCTCTGGTCTGGGCGATGCCAGAGGTCAGGTGCACACTGATCACAAGGGATCACAAGGGTCCCTTCTGGCCTGAGAGCAGGGGTGGGGAACCTCAGGTCCGGAGGCCAGATGTGGCCTCTGGCTTGCTGGATCTGGCTCCCTGAGGCTCAGGGCCCCCCCAGCATTGCGGAGCCCATGCTGGTGCTCCAGCCCCCTCGCTGCCCCCCTATGCTCTGGTGCTTCTCACTTATGTGCGGCCCCCGACTGATTTTTCTGTGTGCCAACGGCCCCCTGACCCAAAAAAAGGTTCCCCACCCCTGCCTTAGAGTCTAAGGCTTGATCTTGCAGATTTCCTTATTAAAAAGGCCTCATCTATCTCCTACCCCAGCTCGGTGGTTTCCAACCTTTTCCAGGGTGACACTACCAGGCCCTGGCTCTTACAGACCACAGAGCACGTTAGAGGGCAGAGACGCAGAGAACAAAGATCTGAGGCACAGTCACCCAGCAGGAGAGGAGGGAACAGAAGCATGGTTTCTGGGGTCCCAGCCCAGTGAATCAGACCACACTGCCCCTCCCAGGGCATGCCCAGGAACTGGCCGGCCAGTTCCCCCTCCCAGGCAGCAATATGGGAAGGGTGGGATGGTCACAACAAACCTCCCCTCCCCAGGGATGCCAGGTTGGGAGCCCCCTGCCAGGAACCATTTCAGTCAGATCCTTCCATGCCCCCCGCTTCCCTGCGCCGATCAGTGGTAATATTAAGCCATCACCAGAGACAAGATGGTGCAGGAGCTCAGTTTCTCCTCCATCAGGTACCCGTGCCAGCTACTCTCTTAGGGAGGAGGACTGTATCTTCATGGGCCCAGCAGCCCTGCTGCTCCCCTCTACCCACATCTCATGGCAGTGCCCAGCCTGGGGGGCTCAGCAAGTCTGACGCCACAGAAGTGCCCGGCTAAGCCACTCGCCAAGCAGTGGGGGAGAGGGCTGGCAGTGCAGCCTAGGGGAAGGGATGCTGGGCAGGTGGCTGGCCACCAGTGCCTCAGTTTCCCTGGCTGTAACATGGGGTATAACAGCAGGCAGAGATGACAAGCGCGCCACGTGCCCTGTGTCGCAATTACAGACAATGATCCTGTAATTAAAATCCTGATATACCCCAGCCTGGGCTCTGACAGAGGTGCCTCTGAGATCTATTTGAGGATCACCCCTCCCGCGTATCCCCTGCTAACTTCACGGTAGCCAGCTCTCTGATCCAGAAACTAGGTCATCCCCAGCCGCCGCGCCCAGCGTTGTACACAGCAACCACCGGCGCTGCAGACAGCAGGGGCCGCGAGTCCCCCGTAGTCATGGCAACGGCAGCATGGCCTGGGCCCTTCAGGGTTATTAATTTCCATTCTTTGCAGAGAACAGGGGAGGCGCGCTGCAGGGCCAGCACAGAGGGCCGTGGCAGGCTGTCCCGCAGGGTTCATGCTCTGAGACAGCGAGCGGAGCAAGGGGGGGGCATGCTGGACAGGTGTGTGTTAGTGCTGTGGTTTGGAGGGACGTTGGGGGTCAGAGATTACTCTGGGATCTCTGGAGGGATCTCTGGAGAGGGGCATTACTGGCAGGAGGCGAGGGGAGCCGAACACAGCTGAAGGCACAGAGCCAAGCAGGAGAAGGCAGGTGAAGAGCGTGTCTGGTCTTGCAGCGTGTTGACCTGTGGCCTGGGGAAGGGGAGGGGGAAAATGGACGCAGTTGTGCGGCGCCTTTGCTCATTCCCGAAGGAAGATGTAGGAGCTGTGGTGCCAACTCCCATCATTTTAAGCACAAGTCTCGCGGTATTTGCAGTTTTCTTCTTAAAGCTCCAGCTCTCAGAGTCATGGGATCACAACCACGTACAGAGTCTTCAGGCTGAAGACCAGAGCTCAAAACCGTGACCCCTTCAAGGCACAAGACCCAGAAATTCAAACAGCCCTCCCTGGACATGTTTAAGGCTAATTATTAAGCCACTTTCCTGGATTTCTGGAGCCTGACTCAGGATTTCTGATTGCATGGGGGCAGTAGGCTCCATTTTCAACAACCACAACTTCCCCTTCCCCCAGTTAAGAGCCCCCCTACATCTGCATCATGCAGTTTTATCTGGAGGATTCCCCCTGCCCGTCTGCAGAGGAATTTAAGAGAAACAAACACATGACCCAATCATGGTCTTGATTTACAAGCTCCACATACTGCAGAAGCGCGGCCACTTCTGGGGTGGAGGACACCAGCCAACTTGCATGCCACAGTGAGATGGGGAAGGGGAGACTGCCATTTTGTCCATAATGACTTGTCAAAAGCACCATGGCTTTCCTATTGACGGCCCAGAAAAAAGAATTCCAGTTTTAAGGGGTCACTGGAGAGTGGCCCCCTCCCCCTCCAGCAAGCCTCAGGCACCTGGGAGATCTGAAGCTTGCACTCTGGAAGTGTCAAACCAGAGGAGAAGGGCTCTAGCATCTCCAGGGGCTACCGAACAGACTGAAATGGGCATATTGTTTTCAAAGGGTAATTTAGCTGAGGCTCTTCCCTGGACTTTGTTTCTATTGTCTCCAGTGATACACAAGGCACCATGGACATCTGTCATGGCGTGACGGAAAAGTAACAGCTGGTCAATGCTGAAGAGGTGCATCCCTATTGGCTGAAGTGCCATGTGCATCTAAGGCAACCGCAAGCCAGTCTAGTCAGCCAAGTGCTACTGGTTAGGAATAGGCTGGTTTCTGCTGAACTCCTGTAAATACAGATAGTATTTTGGGGGATAGTCAGACAGCCCTGGTGCTACCGAAGCCGGCTCCCTCCCATGCCACTCCAAACCGATCTCAGTTACCCTTAGAATTATGGCCTGTCTTGCAGACAACAGTTAGATCTCAATGTGCTATGTTGTACAAGC